CATCACCATCATCATCACTGTCTATATATGTTTTTCCAGCTTGGCATCTTCAACTAATGTTTTGTCTACTATTCATTCACAGCCCACCGTTGCCATCAGACCTCTCAGGTCAAGCGCACGCTACCTCCGACTATACTTCATCTCCCTCACCCGAGTCAGGAGCCTCGTCCACATCATCTAACAGGAGGAAGCTCTCCGAGGACTTTGACCAAAGGTAAATGCACCTTTACAATACCATAATGCTTTGCGCTTTAATTAATAGATCAACACTGAGGTTGTTTCAGGGTTCAATCTGTGAGTTAACCATGCCCTGACATAGATCAGTCCAGAGGTATTTCAGGGTTTGATCTAAGTGTTAGTTGTGCCCTGACTTAGATCAGTCCAGAGGTTGTTTTAGGGTTCAATCTGTGAGTTAGCCATGCCCTGACTTAGATCAGTCCAGAGGTATTTCAGGGTTTGATCTAAGTGTTAGTTGTGCCCTGACTTAGATCAGCCCAGAGGTTGTTTTAGGGTTCAATCTGTGAGTTAGCCATGCCCTGACTTAGATCAGCCCAGAGGTTGTTTTAGGGTTCAATCTGTGAGTTAGCCATGCCCTGAATTAGATCAGCCCAGAGGTTGTTTTAGGCTTTGATCTGTGAGTTAGCCATGCCCTGACTTAGATCAGCCAAGAGATTGTTTCAGGGTTTAATAAAATTAATAATGTTTATGTTAGATGTCTGACCAGTTACCTTTGTTGATAGCTTTTTCCTTTCCGTCTGCCATCTAAATAAATAATTAGATAAACTATCCTTTCGATTAGATTATCTTAAAAGAAAAGTGTTTTTTCTTTTTACATGATAAGGACCTTTGGCTTTTGATTGGTCAAATATTGAATAACTTATCCTGTTTTTTTCCTTTCTTTGTCTTTCCTTAAAAAAACATTACATCAAAACTAAAATCAAACAATTTTGAGGATTAGAGAACTTAAACAAATTRCCTATGGTTTTTCGATGGTARTTTGTYGACGTAATTTGTTGGTATGTCTTCTYATTTACCATGGCTCTCGACCAATCAGAAAGCGAGAAAATTTACATTTGTGGTAAAAAATTTTAAATACATTTCAAATTTCGGTTTTAAATAAAATTCGGAGTAAAATTCTGAGTATGAGGTCGATGGGTTGACATAGCGAAGGTCGTATGACGAAGGTTTATTTGTTCCTGTCGTATTTTGGAGGTTTTTACTTTTCAATGTGGTCGTAAAATTGAGGTCTGTATTCCCAGGTGGCCGTGTAAGAGGTTAAATAATAGTTATGGTTGGTCGTATTAGAGAGGTCATTGCTCAATATGGTCTTATAATCACGATGCACCTGTTATGGTTGGTCGGAGTTTTTGGTCGTTAAATATARGTCATCTTCTTTAACCACATCGTAAAGATTGTTTTTGTTCACGAAGTCATCTATCCATCTTGGTCGTTCAGGTCGACAAAGGGAGGTCCTCTGGTCGTTTTAGAGAGGCCAATATTCGTTTCGTCCTCTAATCCCGGTCGCATTAGAAAGGGTATCAATCCTTGTGGATATTTTTCTTTCCTTGGGACTCCCTAGAGCTCTGTTTCTTGTGTCTCCATTTACCTCAAGTTAATTGATTAAGAAAACCAGAGAGTCAATACGGCAAACACAATTCTAGTAATCCTATAATATAATTTATCATATAAAAAGCTTTGCTTTTTTTTTTATTAAAGTGTCAGTCAGAGCAACGGGAGACGGAAAAGCCTAATTCAGATCATGAGTCTTAAGCACAGAGAGTTATAGACGGCGTGGTTCAAATTCATGCGTAATACTTGATAATAGAAAGCGCGTCTGTTATTATAAAACGCTAGACAACTTGATTCTGGCGCTAAAATTCCCTATATAAAACACCGATTTAGAGGCATTGTCGGCAGCTTTACATTGTATCTCATTGTGGAGACTTGAATAGGGTATTTTAGTKATATTGGACATTTTTCAGTGATTGGATTTTGATCGTCTGGTAAGGATATTGAAATATGAAGTATTTACGTTTTTGCTAGTGTAGTTCTTGTGTTTTGACTGTTAGGTCTTTTTGTGTTCTATCGGGGCGGAAATTGATTTTTAGTTTATGAAATAATGATTTGAGAGGAAGAGGGGAAATTGAAAATGAACTCAAAGAGAGAGAGAGAATAGATTAATGAATGAACAAATTACAGGAAAGAATGAACGAATAAAAGAAGAGTGGAATGAATGAATGGACTGATGGACGGACGGAGGACGGATGGACGGATGGATGGATGGATGGGCGAATGGATGGATGAATGGACGGACGGACGGACGG